AGAGAGGCAGCTCCCTCCCTGCTTTAGAAAACCAAATTGTTTTGCCTCTAGCTACACAATTGCTCCTGAGGACTAGGGCATAATAAAGGATATTTTTAGGCCAGGCACGGTGGCTCACGCCTGTAATCCTAGCACTTTGGGACACCTAGGTAGGTGGATCACTTGAGGTCAGGAGTTCGAGACCACCCTGGCCAACATCCCGTCTCTACTAACAATACAAAAAAAAAAAAAATTGGCCGGGCGCGGTGGCTCACGCCTGTAATCCCAGCACTTTGGGAGGCCGAGACAGGTGGATCACGAGGTCAGGAGATCGAGACCATCTCGGCTAACACGGTGAAACCCCGTTTCTACTAAAAATACAAAAAAATTAGCTGGGCAAGGTGGCGGGCGCCTGTAGTCCCAGCTACTCGGGAGGCTGAGGCAGGAGAATGGCGTGAACCTGGGAGGCGGAGCTTGCAGTGAGCTGAGATCGTGCCACTGCACTCCAGCCTGGGCAACAAAGCAGAGACTCCGTCTCAAAAAAAAATTAGCTGGGTGAGGTAGTGTATGCCTATAATCGTAACTTCTCGGGAGGCTGAGGTGGGAGGATTGCTTGAATACAGGAGGTGGAGGTTGCAGTGAGCTGAGACTGCACCATTGCACACTCCAGCCTGGGTGACAGCAAGACTCAGCCTCAAAAAAAAGAAAAAAAAAGTTTTTAAATAATCTTTTCATTTCCCAAGAAACATGTTCTATTTACCACTTTCAATCCTTAGTTACATCTAACCTGCCTGTAAAACACAACGCCCTGGCATGGAGTCCACCTTTATAAAGCCTAAAAACATCCTTTACCATGAGTCTGCAACAAAAAACAACTAAAAGGTTTCTTCCCTTGTGAAACTCTGAAAAGATGTTTTGTTTCATTACAGAAAAAGCTCAAAAGAATTTGGGTCGGAGGACAAAGAAAAACATCAAATATAATTTTAAGCACAGTTTAAACATTCTGTTTTAAATAGTTAATTTTTGTTTGTTAAAGCCAGTAAAAATACGGTGGAAAGAAACCAGGTCTGTGGTTCCCAAACACCTCCGGGGCAGTAGTTCCAATTTCACCTGGGGCACTTGTTCAAAAACAGATATCCAAGCCCCACACCCAGAGACTCTGACTTGGAAAATCCAGGGTGGGGCCCAGGAATCTCTAGTATTTTAAAGTACCCCAAATAATTTCAGGATAAAACTAAATGTAGAAAACAATTACTAAGTAAATAGGCATTTAAATGCTGGTGTTTAGTCCTAATCTAGTCTCGGTATAGTCCCAAGGGTCACAAGGGCACATTTTAGAGTCCTGCTTACCGGAGGCCCTGCCTTGGAGCTCACTGAGGTCTGAGGGAAGGCCCAGTATTTTTTCGAAGGGCATTCCAGGTAAATTTGGGAAACATTAGGATGGGAAGATGCTCTTTACTTGAGGCAAACTGAGTTTTGGTCACAGCTTTACAAGAAGCTAAGTCTGTGATCCTCACAAAGACCCAGGCATCTCCTGTCCACAGTGGCACAAATCACTCCTAGGTTTTGTCGTAGCTGAAATAAACCCCGGTACAATTAAGGTGCATTAGAAGAAGGCAAGCTCTCCCAGCAAGAACACAATTGGGCAAAGGAAATCAGTGAGTACAGCAGCACATAATGCTTTATGATGAGCTTCGCTTTGGGTGGATGATTAAAAAAAGGCTGGAATCAATACGATAAACAAAAGCTACTTAAATGTTACAGGCACTGTGATCGATGGCACCACTGACCTCATAGTTCTTCTGATCTACATTAGAAATACATAAATATATACACATAATATATATAGCAACTCTGATAAAAACCTGGAAATAAAACAATTTAAAACTCTTTAAACCAAAACTTCTTGCTTTTACTTGAGTTAATTTAGCCATAAAGAAAATGATACAGATCTTAATTAAGAGGTTTGTAAAGTACTTAAGTTTGTCATTTTGTTGACATTTAAATGTAATTTCCTCTGAAAACTATTCTTAGGTATCAACTAACTAAACTGAACTGTTGGTTTAGATTATTGTACTACCAGATAAGATAAAATTTGAGATAATTTACTAGAGAGCAACCCAGTCATTTAGGAGTCTATGCTGTTTTAACACTTACCCCTGAGGCTGTAGGTTGTGTTGTGGGGGAAGTATTTTTGCTGCAATCATCTGAGTTAGAAGAGGTGGAAGTTGGAGTCATGGGAATGGAATTATTGCTATTACCTGCAACAGTCAAAATTAACCTTATAAATACACATATGCTCTACTGTTAAGGTTGGCAAATACTTTACAGCCAAATGTCATTTTAGTATATTTACCAGAGCAAGTCTTTGATTTATTTATGTTCTTAGGTTTTCGTTTCCTGGTTTGAATTCCCTCTTTCTTCATAGCAAGTGGTCTGGGCACCTAAAAAATTTTCACATAGGCCATAAATTTAATATTATATTGAAGAAAAATCAAAGACCCAACATTGGCACTAAAAGCCCTCATTTAAAAGAATTTGGCAGCCAGGCGCAGTGGCTCATGCCTGTAATCCCAGCACTTTCGGAGGCCGAAGCAGGCGGATCACCTGAGGTCAGGGGTTCAAAACTAGCCTGGCCAACATGGCGAAACCCTGTCTCTACTAAATATACAAAAATTAGCCAGGCACGGTGGCAGGCACCTGTAATCCCAGCTACTTGGGAGGCTGAGGCAGGAGAATCACTTGAACCCAGGAGGTGGAGGTTGCAGTGAGCCGAGAGAGCACTACTACATTCCAGCCTGGGCAACAAGAGTTAGACTCCATCTCAAAACAAGAAAAAGAAACAAGAAAAAAAAAGAACTTGGCATAAATTTCAATCCAATTTTTATACACACTCAAGAGATCCCAAGTGCACAAAGACTACACTTTCCTCATCAAATGCAGAGATTCCTTCAGAAAGAATGAGATGATTTGTCAAGGAGAATTTAATTCCTTCAACTTAATGTTTATTGTTTGAAATGAGTAGCTATTCATTGAATAAGAATTATTTCAAAGAGATCATGTATCTCCTTCCTCCTACAGATGCAAGGTTATTTTTCTATTTTTTAAGATTGAGGTGTTTATAATGCTTTGTGCAGTCCTTTAAAATGAACTATGAAATATTTCAAACTGTAACTATTAAATGCATTATTCCTTTGCATAAATGTCTGATTACATTCAAAATTATTAAGATATATAGACCAGTGATTGTGCATTTTTGATTGATTTCCTTAATTGTGCAGTTTTAAAAATGGTTACTACCATATTACCCATTCTAAAATACACATTTTTCACACTTTCGCATTTTGAAAACTGGAATGTGTCTTAAATGAACGTTTGCAATAGTTCAATTGGTGGCATTTTTTGTCTCCTACTTGTGCATAAGATAATATTTCATATTATAATTAAAAGCACCTTCGATTCAATAAAGTAAATATATTCAGTATGTAAACTGAATATATTAAACATATTCAGTAATAAATCATATGCATTCAAATTTTTCACTTGAGTATCTTTCATTTGCTGATTTTTTATAACTGAAATCACATACAAACCAGACACTAAATGTATATATAAGTGAGCAGAATACATGGCATACCCCATGGAGTTTCATGTAGAGTCCACAAGCATTGCACACGGGTTCGCCCTCGGCGTTTCTGCGCCATAAGGTGGTAGTTGTGGTGTGACAGTTGGCACAGGACAATCCAAGCCGCCGTGATGAAGGCTAGAAACAGTACAAGAACAGAAGTGGAAAAACATAAGTGACATATATATATATACATATATGCTACATACATACATTAAGGTATTTTGTCCCTGTCATCAACAAGCATGTATCTATTTTATTATAAATGAAATGGTCCTTAAGAAAAAAAATTGCAGTGTACTTAGACTGACTTTTCTGGACCAAGAAATCTGAGGTCTGCATAGTGTGCTAGACCCTATAGATTTGATTTATTCCTCCAGCTACCCTGTCTCCATGGATTCAAGAATACCAGGGAGCAGTCATATAGTTGGCCAACAACTTCATGCAAAGCTTTTACCAGCGTCCTAACAAGGAGAGTTTCACCCACGGTTTCTTCTCCAATTTAGAGTTTCCCAGATACTCCTGGTATCTTTTTTAGGGGAATTAAAAGATTTTCTAAAAGTTGGCCAAATAGAGTTATATTCAAAACACACCGGAAGTAACAACACAGGTAGACATCAACATGAGAGTGCCCCACCTCCCCCCAGGCCCGCCCCCTACCGTGGACAGCAGTTGGCGGTGCACTATCACAGGTCTGAGATTTAAGTCATGAAATGCAATCACAAGCCACTTGCCAATGTGGTAAATGGCTCTGGGCAGTCTCCACTTCCCCTGAAAACTGGAGATCATCAGGTCTGTTTCTCAGATATATGTAAAGGAGTAAACCAGAAACTTTGAAAGGGCCTTTGAAAGTAGATTAATGGAAACTTTGAAAGTACATTAATGGAAATGGAATTCAGAAGAGGGGTAAATGTTTTGTAAAAAAAAAAAAGAAATATCTTTAAGCACATTCCATAATTACCATCATGATTGCCTGCTGCCTGTATTTTTGTTTTATCTATTTTACAAAAGACACAAGCAAATTTTATGGCATCATCTTAATGCTGCCATTGTCTTAGATGCAGTGATACTAATATATTTGCCCTATCAGTATTATTCTCAACTTTTGTTCATACAAAGGGTTAATTGGTATTACCAGAAAAGGTAAAAGGCCACCTGTCTGCCACTGTCACTCCTATTTCCATGTTTTCTTTATGCCCACAACATCCTTAAAGGGAATTTATTATCTCTAGATTACTACATGTTAATTATAAAGGATGGGAGTTTAAGCTAATATAATTTCCTACCCAGAATGGCAAAATATAAAACTTGTTTTTAAGTTGCCAAGCTTAAATTTCCTTTTAAATGCTGTAAATTACTATAAAAATTGTGACACAGCTTCAGTTAAAAAAAAAAAATGCATGCTTGCTTCCATAGTAAAATTGGAAGGATACAGAGAAGATTAGCATGGCCCCAGCACAAGAATGACACCCAAATTCGTGAAGCTTTCCATATTAAAAAAAAAAAATTAGAGAAAGATTTGGGACCAAACCAAGTTGAAAATTACAAAATTTGCGAAGTTAAGAAAAATCAATTGTAAAGAATGAAGAAGAGAAATGTAAATTGAATATGTATCGAATATTCACAGATTACAGGACAGAGACTTCCAAAATTTTTGCTGGCAAATTTAAAAGATGAAATTAAAATTTGCGTTTATGATTCACATCCTGCTGCATTACTTAGCATCACTCTTTACAGATAAGTTATAAACACAGAGAGACACCGGCAAATGTTTTAGCACTATAACATTTCTAAGAAGTCAGCGCTAAGAATCAATTTGCCTTTAGTTGAAATGAGTATGCTTGGCTCACAGGAGAGCTACCTGGGAAACTGCTTTGCTAAAATCACGACAACATATTAACAAAACTTTACACATCCAGGCTTTTCTTTTTTCTTTGTGGTTAAAAGAAAATAATTTTTTAGGAAAGGATTCCTTTTTCTTCATAAATGTGAAATCAGTAAACGAGGGACAGGAAGGTTCACTTTATAAACCAGTCATTTATGACAGTTTCCAGTGGAATTTGGAGCCAATGTGAAGCAAACTTGTTATCAGAATTTGCCATTATAACAAAGGACTTTATGACTGTCAACTGCAGATCATAAGTGAAGCCAGTCCTCATAAACATGTGAAATGCAGGTGAATGGGTTATAAAAGTTCCTTGTAACAAGCGATCTCAGTCATATTCCTCACTGACAAGGAATTCAAGTTACACCATAAATCTCTTACTTTGCAATGTATTGCGAGTTCAGATTCACAGTGATTGGTTCTATACTGCTGGCTAAACAAACTTGAGTTCAACATTCTGTTTCTGAGAACTAAGCCAGATCCATCAAAACCATAAATAAGAAGCCCACAAGGAGACCTCATTGATAGTGGCACACCCTTCAATTGGTATCATTTATAACCCATTTACAAAGCATATTTGCTGACCTTCGTTATGGCCAAGACACCTGCTAAGCACAAAGAAAATTAATTGATTCAGAAATGCTAAAAACTGTTCTGTTTTTTTTTTTCTTCTAAGTTATTTTTACTGGTACATGCACAAAACAAATGGCACTATCTAAATATGTTACTAGATCAAATTTATAATGCAACTGGAACCTAAATGGCTACTCTTCCACCAAATTTTTGCTCAATCTCTAGAAAATGTTACCTTTGAGAGTTCAGTTAGTACTCAACTCAATGTGCCTTTCCAGAAAAATAAATCAGTTTCATTGTTCATGTGTTGTCTATTATATGAAAACAAGGAACTTCTGTGGGATATTTTCCACTTACTACTTTTTCTTCTTTAGTATGATGCATTTAAGAAAAAATGAAACCCACAGAGAGTCACACACTACAGTTAAAATTTCTTTAAAGAAAATTTTAAGCTGTGGGAGGTTGTAACGAGTGTAAGGCATATACATTCATTAAATTAACCTCGGCCACTTTATTTTAAATGCATTAAAACAAAACCAACCATAAAACTAATTGCTTCTCTTTAAGGCGTCAGACTTACATTGTGATGCAATTTCACTCTAATCTATTTAACACAAACAACATGTGTAGCATTTGTTCCTGCTAATTAGAGTATAACAAATAAATTACTGGGATACTTAAGACGTCTGGCATCTAACTGTAACATATTTAGCTTTAAAGGGTTATTAGATTATGAGTACTTCGCTAAACAAATGTTAGCCTTACAATGGGGCTGGTGAAAGCTTTCCTTTGTTTTCTCTAACCATTACAGCGGTAAATACTCTCTCCGGCTAAGAAGCACACATAACAATGACAATACAAGACTAATCCCTGAAATCAGGATTCCCTTTCTTTAAAACATGGTGGCCGGGCGCGGTGGCTCACGCCCGTAATCCCGGCACTTCGGGAGGCGGGCGGATCACCTGAAGTCGGGAGTTCGAGACCAGCCTGACCTACATGGAGAAACCCTGTCTCTACTAAAAATACAAAAAAAATAGCTGGGCGTGGTGGCGCATGCCTGTAATCCCAGCTACTCGGGAGGCTGAGGCAGGAGAATCGCTTGAACCGTGGAGGCGGAGGCTGCGGTGAGCCAAGATCACGCCATTGCACTCCAGCCTGGACAACAAGAGTGAAACTCCGTCTCAAAAATAAATAGATAGATAAAAAGTACAACGTGTGCAAATTGGTGAAAACGCTCAACTTAAGAACATACAAACCACACGTTTTCTCAAGTTCTACAAGGTTCTCTGATTTCGAAATAACAAAAGTTAGAGCAAATAAATTTTCACCAGGTTCAAGGGCAATCCAAGATATGGAATTTGGGGATACACCTGAGGATAAGAGGTAGAAGTGACCAAGAAGGTGGAAAGGACAAAGTAAAAGGCACCCAAAAGAATATGGCTGTGAGGAGGCGAGAGGGTGGGTGGATTTCTGGCATATTCTATTCGGGGGGTGGATGGTATCAGTGAGCATGGTTTTTCAAGGATTAAATCTAAACCATACCCAGTGAAAAAAGTCTTCCTTCGTCCAGCCTCGGTAGGTCTGTTTTTCCCCTCAGGTTACCATCACCAATTTTTTGCCTATCTTACCAGAATTATTACAGTGCTTTGGCAAGTACACCTAGAGATATATAGATTTTTTCTTTCTTTGCTTGAAACATGGTAACATTTTTCACCTTCCTTTTTTGTTTGTTTTTGTTTTTGTCATTTAGGAACGTCATTCCCTGCGCATAAATATGGGGAAAGGCTATCTTGGCTTCCCAGACGCCGGTTTCGGGGTAACCTCTGCTTGGGCGCCAGCGGGTGGGCGTTGGAACAGCCGGGACAGGATGGTACCGCTGGGTCCCCGCTCGGGTGGGATCGGGGCGGCCGCACCTGTCCCCGGGGAGGGGGACGCCGGAGGCAGGCAGAGCCAGGGCGGGGCGGGCAGGGCCAGGAGAGCCGGGGGCCCGGCTGCAAGCCAGGGGCAGGGCAGGTCATACTCACCACGCGCTTCTGCGGCTTGATGAGGGGCCGGCTGAGGCCGTTCATCTTGCTGTAGAGCCCGCAGGCGTTGCACAGGTAGTGGCCGGTGCCGTCCCGCCGCCACAGCGGCGTCTGGATGGAGCCGCAGTTCACGCACTCGCGGCTCTCGGACAGGTCCTCCAGCAGGTCTGCGGCGACAGCGGGGCGAGAGGGCGGGTGAGGCCGCGCCGGACCCGTCCCTCCCCGCGACACCCGGGGGACCCCGGCCCCCAGCCCCGGTGCCCGGCTTCCCTGCCCGCACCCTTCCCGGCTGCGCTTTTCTCCTTGGCCGCAAAGCCAGGAGCAGGGTTTTTATTTCGTCACTATCGATCCGCTGACCATTTGTCCAATACTTCTGCACACCTGGGGCGTCCCAGTAGAGACCCCGGGAAAGAGACAGTGCTGGAAGCAGAGGACGTCAGAGTCCGAGATGAGCGGTGGGGAGGAGGTCGGCTTGAGTCCCCTGACCCCTACTCTCAGGCTGTCCCGGAGCTTTTAAAGACTAAAATCCATCATCATTACAGTACGTCGTTGCCAAACCCGAGCAAGCCACACAGCAATACTGACCACTGAGCCCCGCTGCAACCCACAAATATCCGGGGACAGAGCGAGGCTGCCGCATTAACTTTTATCTCAAGTAATTTTAAAAAGTATTTTCTACATCTGCCACCGGTCCATATGTGCCTCTTCTCCAATTAAAGATACACAAGTGAAATTAAAAGTACTATTCTTAGGCACCTACGTTAGTTAGAAACTAGAAACGAGAAAATTAACTCTCATCTTTTCAGGGGGAAAATGCACTAACGTTAAGCACAGTTTATTTTCATGCCACGAAGATCAAATGCTAAAATCCCCTGATTTAGAAGTGGGTCCAACTGTTTCTATCCGCAAATTTTTTATAAAAGGTTGATACCTTACTGATTGAGAAAATTACCAAGACCTTCCCAGTGATCATTTTGAGTTATACAATCTATTTAAAATGTGTTTATTTTACCTAATTTTACTATTATTATTCTTTGGTTAGTTTTCAGAATTCACAATAACCTAAACCTGCTAATAAAACAAATCTTAATTAAGAGTAAATGTAACATTTATTACTTCTCAAGAAGGTTAAATATGGAAGAATAAATGTCTCTAAAAATAAGATAGGTACTTATAAGTATAGACCAAAAAAAAAAAAAAAACGTATAGACCACCATTTAGGTTCTTTAGATTATAGAAGGTTTAAATGTTCTAGTTTTGCATTATTGAAGAAGCATTTCTGAATCACTTTTTAAAGTAAATAAACATTACACTTTAGAGTTTTAGCTGAAGATTGTGTGCTAGTGAACCTTTTTGTTCTTTCTCATCCCCTTGCAGTTTATTGCTTGTGTCTACCATCAACTGTGGGGTAACGATATTTAAATATGACTTTAGCATAAAAACTCTTTAATTCCATTAATACTATTTACAAAACAAGTCTCCTTTCTCATTTCTTATTAAGTTTTAAAGAAACTAGCATCCTACACAGCTCAAAGTTGTCATGGGGATACCGCAACTCACAACAGATCACAAAGATTTATTCTTCTCCGCTCTAAAAGCCACTATTGACTATGGTAATCAGTAAAATACTCAGGACTTCAAGGACACTGAAGTTAAACAAGGTATTTGTCTTTGTTGTTGACTTTAAAATGTTACCTATCAGAGCCCCTCTGGACAGAGGAGTGGGGCATTCCCTGGAAAACCCAGTCCTCTGCCTGGGAACAATAAGAATCCCAATAGAAGACAGCGTGAACTCCCCAGGTAGAACTATTTAGTCATCTGAAAACCCAAAGACAAAATTTAATTAAAAGTCCACTTTGAATAAATAATAAATACAATCTAGGAAGTTTGCTTATTTTTAGTTAAATAAAATCTCTCTCATTCCCTCCCAACCTCTTTCCCAAACCCACCAAGCAGCTATAATCCTCTAAATGACTAAAAAGGAAAAAAAAAAAAAAATGCTGTCTGTATATCTGA